GCCCCCCGTCACGTCCTAAGAGTGCAGTGACCCCTAGACATTCTCACTGTGGGTGATTCTGACCCACCAGGCCAGCTAGTCCTCTTCAGACCCCAAATGGGGACATCCTAGAGAAAGGGCCCCCCGCTTACCTGCTCTGTGTCCTTGGGCAGGTGGCTTAACCTCTCTGAGCCTCAGTTTCCTTGCCTGAAAAATGGAGGTAGCAATACCTCCTAAAAGCCAGAGGAAAATTGATGAGCCGATGCATATAAAGTACCCAGCACAGGCCTAGCACCCAGGATGCTCAATAAACATCAGCTAGCGTTACTGTTACTATTATTCAGTCACTTCCATTATCCTCTGCTCTCCTCTGTGACAGCTATTTAGGGGAAGCAAGAGGATTGGGCCAGTTAAGGGGCTCAAGAAGAATGCCATGTCTGTTCTTCACTCTGGCCTGAACCTCGATGAAAAGGCCCTTCGTCATTCCACAGACCTTTATTCGGCACCCACTCTGGGACAGGCCCTGACCGGAACAAGCATGTCTACCACCCACCCCAAAGCACTCGGGGCCATGACAAAACTAACTCTTGTTAAACCCCCACTGATCAGTTTCTTGAGGCACACAGGTCTCCTACATTCCAGAGCTCCCCAGAAAAGATTCTTAGACCCCACTTGGCCATCAGAGAGCTACAGCACCGAGTTGAACTGTGGTTAATGTGAATTTAAAAAAAAACAAAAAAAAACAAAAAAAAAACTGTCTCATCTTCTGTTTAGATTAAGTTAATAGAAACTGAGTTATTGCAGCTGACACAGCTGGAGTTAAAGAGGAAATCCCTGGACACAGAGGCACTACAGGTATGTAGGGCTCCTGCTTTGCCCTGTCCCTCCCCCGCCCCGATGAAGTCCCCTAGCCGGTGCCCCAGCCCCAGAAGGTGATGGGAGCACAGGCCGAGGTTAGGGGTCGGTCAGCCCGTTGTTAGGCAGGAGGGTCAGAGGAAGGAGGGTTTCATTGCCAAGGCTCACCCAGGTGACATCTGCATCTCCACATTTCCTTTGTTTTGGAGTGGGGATGCTGCCGAGCGCCCTGTCTCTTTCAGCCATGCTTCTGGTTCTGGTGCTGGTTTGCCTCATGGGCTGGCATCCTCTTGGTGGGGAAGGAGCTTTCTTGTTATCCCGAGAATGTCTGGAGGAGAGGGCCCAGCTGTTACTGCGCCACTCCCTGCAGGCAGCTTCTCTGTGAGCTCCGGCCTCGGGTCCCGCTCACAGGGACGTGCGAGCAGCAGGGACCAGCAGGCATTCTAGACCGCAAGTCTGGGACATGGGTTCTGTCCCAGCACAGTCTTGCTGCATGACCTGGGCGGGTAGGGGAAACAGAGGCCCTTTCCCTTCTCTGTGCCTCAGTCTCCCCTGTTTTACACAGGGGGGCTAGTTCGATGGTGTGTGAGGACATGTGCTGTTAAGCAGGGCCCTGTCTGTCACTGTCCCTACATTCGTTCTCAGCGGAGAAGTCTTAAGTCGTCTCATGGACTTCTCAGTGCAGTGAAAGAATGCTGGGGTCTGGAGTCCTGGGCTGAGGTCTGCCGTAGATGCACCGCGTGACCTCAGGCAGGTCACTTCCTCTCCCTCGGCCTCCATTTCTCCCATCCGTAAAATGGAAATAATCTTTCAGGCCCAGCCTGCGTCAGGGCCATCAGAGGGTGGGCTAGCCAGCAGAAAGTCCTGTGTGAGTTTGGAAATGGTCTTCAGAGAGGATGGATTGGGGCAGTGCTCAGAGCAGGTACAGCCACTGTGCTTCACGGGTGTCCTTGTCACCTGCCCCTGAGAGCTCGTGGGGCTCCCATTTGGGGCCTCCATGGGAATTGGCGAGTGGAACCTGGACACAAATGAGGGCTCTGCTCCGACTTGCATGTGCCCCATCTGTGCAGAGCTTTCCAGACTGGTGTGTGGTGACACAGCCGCGCTCCCGACCGCGCGCTTCCCCCACCCGCTCTGGACTCAGTGAGAGGAGGTCAGGTGCTGTGGCTTGTCATTTCCATCATTTGCTCTTTTTGACCGTTCCATGAACATCGGTCGCTCGACCCCATGCCAGGCCTCAATCCCATGCAGAGGGGAGGTCCCGGTTTAGGAGCAGACGGCGGGTGGGGATGCTTAGCTGAGGGGCCCCTCGGCTCTGTTCCCCAACTCTCAGCCTGAGACCATGGGCCCCTGGCTGCCGGCTGAGAACCGAATGACGGGGGACCCGCCACAGTGCCACTGGGACTTCTGGCGCCAGGGCCACCGCGAGCTTCCAACAGCACCGGGCGTGGTCTTGTGTTGCAGGAGATGGTCTCAGAGCAGCGCTGGGCCCTCAGCTCCCTGCTGCAGCAGCTGCTCAAAGAGAAGACTCAGCGAGAGGAGGAGCTCCGGGGGATCCTGGTGTGTTGCCTGCGCCCGTCGCGCAGGGGTTTGCTTTCCCTCCACACGCTCGCCGTTCTGAGAAACGCTTCCGTTACCCAAGTCGCGGTTGTCCGTCAAAGGAAAAACAAAGTACAGAGGAAAAGCATCTCACTTCCGAGAGTTTTCTGTTGCTAGCGTTTTGATGCATATTTTCCAAACGTGGTGCATATTCGTAGCCATGCATGCGTGTGCCTTTGAGTAGAAACGGTGCACTTGGAAGGGTCGTCACTGAGCCTAGAGTTGAGCATTTAGACCATTTCTAGTTCTTCACTTGCATTAGCAGTGCTCTCGGACCATCTTCGTAGCTGAGGATTTGAGAACAGCTGAGCATTTTCTCAAGACAAATGCCCGGGAGAAGACTTGCTGTGTCCAGGGCGGCCCATTTAATAAGCCTTTAACAGGAGTTGCCTGAATGTCCCCTGTCCCCAAATGGGTTTGCCTCTGGCACATCATCAGGGTGGCAGAGCCCTTGTTCAGGGGTAGTGCGTTGGGTCGTGTTCTCCAGAACCCAAGTGCACCTGACCGGTGAGAACAGAGGCCAGGCCCACCAGCCAGGCTGGAAGGGCCGAGTCACTCCTGTGGCGTTGGTACTGCCCCAGGTGTCCTTTGAGCTCCACCGTGGGCCAGGCCCTGTGAGGGTACAGAGAAGAGTGAGACCAGCTCGCCTGAGCCCAGATGGCACGTCCGTGCTAATCAGAAGGCGCCCATTCCTCACGACGCCTCGCTGGCATCACCTTTGAGTTGCAGTAATGTGAGGACCATGGCCTTGGCGTTGTGCAGGAGCAGCCATATGCCGTGGCCCTGTGCTCCTCCCCTTAAGGGGACTCAGGGGACTCGCTCTCAACAGAACACGACCATCAGGGTCATAGGTTCCAGAAGAGCCATGCGTCCACAGCCCAGGGAGGGCCAAGGCCAGAAGAGGGGAGCCAGCTTGGCAGGGCCCAGGAGGGACCACCAGGGGGACTGGGGAAATGCCCGTGTTGAAATCCTACCCCCCGTGTCACATCCGGTCCCCAGCGTGTGGTTCAGTCTAGACACACTGGCTCGGCTGTTCAGAGCACAGACTCCAGAGCAAGACAGACCAGGTCTGAATCCTGGCACCAGGCAGCTCTTTGACCTTGGGCGGCTGCTAATTACACTGACCCTCGGTTTCCTCCCCTGTGAAGCAGAACCTACTTCACAGAGTTGCGAAAATTAAGGAAAATGGCATCTCTCAGTACACAGCACAGCCTGGCATGGAGCACTCTGAAAGCATGAGCTGTCGTTAGTATCATTTGTTGGCTGCTCCGTCCCCAGCACCTATGACAGCGCCTGGCCCAGAGCAACGCTCAAGGAACACTTGTTGAATGACAGGACAAAGGGATCTGTTTCAGTAGCATGTTTATAATTCTCTGGCTTTGCCAGAGCAGTGGAAGCCACTCCAGAAGCTGCAGGTGCCTTTGGAATCCTGTTTCTCTCCCTGCCTGGCACCCGGAAGACCAGCCTGAGCTTTGTAGAAGGAGGTCGCTGCTCGGAGCTTTGCCCTTCCCAAAGCAGATGAGAAGGTGTCCCTCCCAGACTGCTGGTGTACACAGCGAGGTGCCAGGTGTCAATAGGCCAGGTTCAGGCCCCCCACCAGCTATGCAGTGTCTGTGAGATGATTCTCGGCAGTACGTTAGAGATAGTGGTGCTTCCTGCCTTTTCCCTTTGAGTCGTTGCAGCAACGGGATGACTGTGTAGGAAAGTTGTCTGTAAGACACCGAGTGCCATCCACGTGCTCAGAGGAGTGTAGTTCACAATCGTCACTACCATTTTTTTTATTTACTGTCTCGTAACTAACAATACCTGCTTCGTTCTTGGCAGACGGAGTTAGAAGCCAAAAGCGAAACCAAGCAGGAAAATTACTGGCTGATTCAGTATCAGCGGCTTTTGAACCAGAAGCCCTTGTCCTTGAAGCTGCAGGTAAGGCCCGGCGGTGCCCACCCTCGCCGGGAGCCAGGAGGACCTCGATTCAGAGCACCCTCTCACACCCCAGCAATGCCCTGCTTCTTGGCCTTTCCAGTTTAATTCCGTTCATATTTCTGGTGGCTAGTGTACCAGGTTCTGTGCTAGCCCTCAGTGGGGACAGAAATGAGAGGGAGCGTTCATTCCAGTAAGGGGAAGACGGCCACTGGTCACTGCCACAGAGGGACAGGGCCTCCTGTGCATGCCAGGGCAAGTGGGCGACAGCGCTGCCCGTGAGCACCTGCTGTGGACAGGGTAGATGTGGGCCTCTCCCTCTCTTTCTCCCTCCCTCTCTGCTGCCCCCATACTTATTAAAAATTTTTAAATAAAAACAGAGTTCTTCTATACATACTATTTTGGCAGCTTCCTTTTCCTCTTAGCAGTAGTGATGGGCGGTTGTCCAGGTCCATACACACAGATCTCGCTGTTTCCATACAGCTGCATAGTACGAAGTATGTGCGTGAACCCTCATTTATTTACTCAGTCCCCTCTTGACAGGTGCTGCAGTTGCTTACCATTTTCAAGTTTATAAACAGAGCGGCAGTGAATTTCCCTGCGCATTTATCTCTAAGCACTTACATATGCATTTTTGGTACGAAAAAGTCTAAGAATGCATTTTACATATTATGTTATATTTGGTCAGACCCTTTGTTTGCTGTTATAAATTTCGGCTCCTTGTTTTTCCTCCCGTCCGTGGTGCGCCTGGCTTTTCTCGTGGGTCTGTGGTGCAGGAAGAGGGAATGGAGCGCCAGCTGGCGGCCCTGCTGGTGGAGCTGTCAGCCGAGCACTACCTGCCCGTCTTTGCTCATCACCGCATCTCACTGGACATGCTGAGCCGGATGAGCCCCAGGGACCTGGCCAAGGTGGGCAGCAGCCTCTCGGAGGAGGTGAGGGAGGCAGGCAGGGCCACCGGCCCAACCTGGCCAAGGGACATCTTGCACTTGTAGTTCCTGGTGAAGCCTGCTATTATCAGATGTCCCAGAGCCCCTTGCTTCCAGAGAGCCGGGACACCTGCCCCATCCGCCCCCACCCAGCCGAGCGTGCCCTGCACGCTGTTTGGCTAAGAAGGTCCAGAGATGTGTGTCCAGCTGACCTCAGACTGCCCTTCCAGGTCAAATTGGATCTTCACATCGTAGGGCCGAGACAGGTCCTTGGAGCTCCTCTGGTCTGGCCCCACCCCCACCCCCAGGTAGCGGGAGGGCAGCGCTGCCTGAGCCTGGTTGCATCCTGGGCACGTCGCACTGATTCATTTACTCTTCAGAAGAGATGGGTAACGGGGAGAGCTAACATCTTTGTAGCTCTTGCCAGGTGCTGTTCTAAGCACTTTTCACATACTAACTCATCGAATCTTCCCGACAACCTAGGCACGGAGGTATCGTCATTGTCATCATTTTTCAGATGAGGAAACTGAGACACACAGTAGAATAGTGATTTGCCTGAGGTCATGCAGCAGGGCTGGGATGCAAGCCGGTGATCTGGGGCCAGAGGCCATGCTGCTTACCAGTCTGCTGTGTGCAACATCTCAACACAAGGGCTGTCCCTAGACAGGGGTCCTCCACGGGCACCGTGTCACCTGAGCTCAAGAGCTTGTGCTCTGGAGGCCAAGGGACTTTGTGATTCCCATTCTGCCACTTGGCAGCAGCTCAGCCTCAACCACGAGAACTGTGACCGAGGGTCCTGGCTCACAGTCATCACGGGCCATGCAGGTGAAGCTGTCACACAGTCCCTGGTGCAGGGGAGGCCCTGGCTCCGCCGTAGCTGTTACTAGTGTTGGCTTCCTTCTGGGCCTAAGTTTCTCCCTCTGCCACATGGACGGTGGGGCCCAATATGGCCGTACGCCAAGAGGCCTCCACATGTCCAGCCGAAGGTGCCAGGAGCCAGGAATGAGGCGGTCCCAGTGGCTCTGTGTTTCGTAGTAGGCTCCTACCCAGCCCAGGCCACAACCTGTTCTTTGCTCTACTGTTGCAGGTGGGCGTCTCGGAAGCTGGCCTGCAGCATGAGATCCTGCGGCGGGTCCAGAAGCTGCTGGATGCAACCAGGATCCAGCCAGGTACTGACACCGGGGCCTGTGCTCAGCAGGGCTCCAGCCTCACGTGAGCACTGCAGTTGGGGTGGTCACCTGTTTATATTCTGGGTCGTGTCCTAAGGGCCAGTTCTAGCTCCTGCCAGTTCTCGAGGTTCCCTCCTAAAGGAACAGGATTTATAAATGAAAAAAGCAGAGCACACGAATGGGAAACAAGGGAAGTCTTCTCACAGCCACGTGGGGCCCTCCCGTTCCCTGTCCGTAACCCTTCCTAAACTCCCCTCCCCACCCACCGCAACACACACGCACACAGACGCACAGACAGCGAGGACCACACACCCAGGATCCGTGCAGTCGAGGGAGAAGCCATCCGCACCTAGTGCCCACCACGTGCCCGACACCGTGCCTGGGGCAGCCTGTGGTTTGGACCATCCATGCCCGACACCGTGCCTGGGGCAGCCTGTGGTTTGGATGTGGAGGGATGTTGGCGACGGGCTGAGGGGTAAAGGCAGGTCATAAAGGCGCTCCGCCCCGTCCAAAGGCCAGGAGGAGGCAGGTACCGTGGCTGCCGTAGGGGCAGGCATTTCCTGTGCGCCAAGCATAATCCAGGTGCCAGGCATTTGCTGACGATTTTACGTGTACCACGTGTGTCACCTTTGTTTCAACCGCGTGAGGTGGGCACCGTTGTCCTCCTCATTTGAGGGGTGAGGAAACCGAGGCAGAGGGAGAGGTTAACATGCCCCCAAAACGTCACACAGCTGGCCGATGGCTGCACCACTGGGCTTTGCTGCCCGTCCTCAGGGAAAGGCCAAGGGCTCCTCACAAGGGAAAGGAAGCCCGGGGCCTAGAGCAAGGACGAAGGACAGGGCAGGTGTGGGCCGCCAGGCTGGGCAAGCCCACAGTATGGCCAGCCTCAGGCAGGGTCTGTTTGGGGCAGACACTGAACGTGGAGGTGCCGGGCCAGATCGCGGGGGTGAGGCAGGCGCTCGGGCTGCCTGGCGGGGAGCAGGTCCTCGATCCCACCGTGGCAGAGCACCGTAAAGCCTGCACACTCCAGGTCTCCAGCCAGTTTTACTCTGAGGACATTGACTCTATCGAAGAAAAAGGCATTAAACTTGCAGTCCTTTAATATCAGGTACCGTGCAAAATAGTCACTTTCCAGATATCCCCAAGCAGCAGCCCCCTCGCTCTCTGAGGGAAGGTCAGGAAGAGTGTGGCCTCAGGATCTGGCGTCACCGTAACCCTAACAAACAAACCCCTCAAGCAGGAGTCATGGGTGCCCTTTCACTCCGAGCCCCCTGAGCATCCAGAACGGCTGCCTCTGACTGTCTCCCACCATCCCCAGCGCCAGCAGGAGCCGCTCCCTCCTCAGAGCTAGCCAGCCGGTTCTTCCTCCCTGCAGCCCGGGCACAGTGCCTCCGCTTCTTCCTGGTTGTGCCCACCCCACAGGGCAGGGACTGTGGCCTGATGGCCTCTTCTCAGCTCCAGAAAGGGACAGGAAATCCTCAGGCATTTTCCTAACAATTCTCATGTTGCTCCCAGGACTCGATATGCATCGTATATCGAAGAGCCTTTTTACAGCGATGGTCTGGGGCACCATGATTCTCTTAGAGTGTCTAGTGTTGTAACAGCCTCTTTAAAATCTTCAGATTTTCTGATAAGCTCGAGAGAGTTCTGCACCGCAGGCCTTACAGACTCAGACCGAAAGTAACCACACAGGCGGTCTGAACATAAAAATTCCTAACTAGAAGCAGATCATGGTGGGTGGTCACGTCCTAGGCCTATAGCTTCCTTAACAAGGGTCAGCCTTTACCTTCAGTGAGCCTGCCTGCTGTCTTTTTGCATCTACGATGACATACCTTCGAAATGTCAGAGTGATCTTCCTTTCCAGACCCCTCAGGGCACAGCCACTGCTCTGGAGCACGAGACCACAAAGCCCCTCACTGTTAACTTGTCCCCCGCATCCCATCTCTGTGCGCTGCAAATGTTAATGACGAGCTGTCCGGTACCCACCAAGGCAGAAGAAGTATCTGTCTCTCCATTTTACTTTTTATCCAGCCCCAGAGATTTCCACGCTTTGCTTTTTGCCACCTCTGCCAGCGGGTTCTGTGTAACCCCCAGGCTTCTCCTTTGAGTCTAATGTATAAAATAAGCTATAAAACTGCCATTCTCCAGAGCATTTTCTCAGTCTGCTTCCTGGCAGTTGTCATCCGTTTGGCTCAAATAAGCTCTTATAAGACTTAAAAAAAAAAAAAAAGTCTTAAAGGAAAAAAAAATGCTGTTTATAATTCCACCATAGAATAAATGAAAAATGCCAGTCATGATCGGGGTGGGGATCAGGGACGTCTTTAGTGCACGTCGCATGACAACGAGAGAGACTGTGTTTTGTAAGGGCCGAGCCTGATGTCCTGCCTCGGGGCTGGATGCCGGCTGCAGGGCAGAGCAATGGGGACACAGGGCTGTCTGCCTTAGGGACTTAGTCCTCCCCCTGGTCCTCTGGGTCATGTGAAGGGAGGGGCCCATCTGCCTTCTGGGTAACGGGGTGAAGTTGAGAGTGTTGCCCAGTCCACGCTGGAGCCCCCGACCACAAGCTCCAGCACCGCAGCTCCACCACCAGGTGGCCCTGTAGCCTTGGACAAGTGGCTTCGCCTCGCTGGGCCTCTCTGAAAGTGAGGAGCCCCACTCACAGGGTGGCCAGTAAGGGTCCAGGGGGTGTTAAGGGTGAGAGGCCCCAGTTAACCAGTGCTGTGGCTGTCCCTGCCCGCACCCCCGCACTCCCGTTTTACAGATGGGGAGTGAGGTCAGAGAAGAGAAATGAGAGGGTGCGTGAGAAGGTGGCCCTTCCCCCAATTCTGAGATCAGAGTACCCCCACCTTCCAGCTCCCTGCCCACTTGGGGCAGGCAGGGCCTGGGGCGTTCCCTAGAGAACGGGATCATTGGGAGTGACCCTGGCTCAGCCTGTCTCTTGGTCCCCACAGAGCTGCTGAAACCACCCCAGGGCGAGGTCCCCGGGGCCCTGGAGCCCACCGCCCCCGAGGAGCTTCCTGAGTCAGTGAGGCCATCGGCTCCCCCCGCAGAGCTGGAGGTGCAGACCTCAGAATGTGTCGTGTGCCTGGAAAGGGAGGTAAGTCTGGGGCGGGGCCCACCTGCCCCACCCCTGCACCCACCTGCCTCACCTGTGGCCATCCCAGGCCTCTCCAGCACCTGTAGTCTTCCTAAACACATGTTTCTACTTATGTAAGTATACTGTGTTCGTTAGAAATTGTGGAAAATACAGGAAAGCAAAAAATACAGGAAATAAAAAATGACCTATCATCCCATGACCCAAATGTGAGCGATGCTGACATCATTTTCTGGGCTTTTTCCTTTTTAAGAGGGTTTTTTTCTCTGCTTAACAAATACGTTAAAGAAGCTTTCCCAAGTTGTTAAATATCAACAACACAATTTTCTCTGAAGGCTGTTTTAAAACGGTCTTTTTAAAAAAAACTTTAACAAAATTAACTTATGGTTAAAATTAAACAACATAGCATATAAAATTTTAATCCGCCCCTCCCTCTACAGTGCAGTCGTACCTAGAGGCGGCGGCCACGTTAGAGAATTCGATCACCACATCCATGATCATTACTGAACCCAGGGAATGCCAAGATGTGGAAGGCCTCGCTGATTTTAAATTTAACCACGTTCCTGCTTTTCGGGCCTCAGGGCACTGAGCAGCCCTGAGCTGAGCTGAGAGCACACCCCTGATTATTTTCTTAGGATAAATTCCTAAAAAGAGGACCTGCTGAGCCAAGCGTAGATACGCTTCAGTGGTTTCTGATCCATAATGTTGGAGTCTTTCTAGACTGACGGGCTGGGCAAGTACGCACACACACACCACGCGCACACACACACCGCACACACACACACACACGCACACACACACACACTCACACTCACACTCACACTCACAAAGTGGAAACAACCTTAACGTCCAGCAGCAGGGCCTCCTGCTCAGAGGGCACCGCAGCTGTCACACCGAGAGGGCATGGGCAGTGTCCAAGACCGGTGGCAGACAACAAAAGCAAGTAGTAAAACATCGGAGAATATAATCCCAGCTTTATTTAAGAAAGGGGTGGGGCTTACGAGTACTCATACATTGTTTACAAAATATAGAGAAATAGTTCCTTCTGCTAACAGTAGGAAGGGCTAGATTTTCGCTTGCTGTGGTGTACGTGTCTGTGATGTTCAATTCAGGACGACCACAGTGGCTGATTTTTCCGGTAAAGAACAGCGAGGGGTCCAGGGGCTGGGGCTCAACTGCTCCGTCCCTGGACACCAGGCAAGTCAAGGGCAGAGCTCAGACGCCCTGCTCTTTCTCCTCAGGCCCAGATGATCTTCCTCAACTGTGGCCACGTCTGCTGCTGCCAACAGTGCTGCCAGCCACTGAGGACTTGCCCGCTGTGCCGTCAGGACATCAGCCAGCGCCTCCGGATCTATCAGAGCAGCTGAGCGCTGGTCCCGGACCCAGGCCTGGTCCCCCGGCCCCCTCCACCTCCTACAGGCCCAGGGCTCAGCTCACCCCCTGCTCTAGCCAGAATAGCACGGCCCACTCTACCCTGGGCCCTTCCCCACAGCCCCGGAGGGCACCCCCCACCATCGACCTCCAAGCACTTTGCCAGGCGGGGGCAGGGAGTATTCCTGACCAATGACCTAAATACTATGGAGGAAGAGAGAGGATCCCGCATGGCTCAAGGATGGGCTCTGGGGTATGAAGAGGCAGCTGTGCCGTCACCTGAGCACAGGACCGAGTGTCCTGGCCAGCGTGGTTCCGCCACTTCTCAACTGACTGGCAGGTCCCCTGCCCCTCTAGGAGCTTCGGTGTCCTCATCAGGGGAACACAGACAGTGCCCTCCCTCTCAGTGGGGTGAGGGGAGCACAGGAGGACCCAGGCTGAGGGGAGGGGGCCACAGGCCACCATGGACTATCCCTGATTGATGAGCCGGAATGCGTTTGGTGCAGGCCTTGTGCCACAAGCAACGTCGGCTGCTCCTCGCCTCCCTGGCTCCTGCTCCCCAGCACTCTGGGCCCCTCTGCATCCTGACCTGCAGCACCGCAGCCCACGCGACTCGGGGCAGGCAATGAGCTTCACAGACCCAAAGCGGGGATGTCATTAAACCCACCTCCAGCCTGCTCCTTCCGAGTCATCACTGGGTCCTGATGGAGCCTGGGGAGGGAGGGGTCGAGGGCCTGGGAGAGGGCCGCCCCTCAGTCACAAGAAGAGGGGGCAGGTGGAGGCGTTCCCGAATGTGAGGTTATCTAAACGCCCCTGGTTACGAGTGGAGAGACGGGGCTCGGAGAAGGGCACAGGAGTCAGCGGGAGCCACGCAGGCCCGTGCTGTGCGCTCCGCTGTCATTACCCCAGACAAGGGCACCGAGGCCGAGCGGGCTGAGTGCTCAGGACCTTGCAGCTGGGACGTGGCGGTGCTGGGGTTGGAACCCAGGCAGCTATGCGGGTCGTTCATTGCACAGTTCTAGAAGGAGCCACGAATTCTGGTTCTTGCTGTGGGGTTGCATAGTTATCGTGCCTTTTCTACCAGGTGGTTTGGAGCCAAGGGCAGCTTTTAGGCTGGAGGCAGGCCTGCTCAGGGCCCCTGGGTCTGCCTCCAGCTGACTCTCACCCTGGCCAGCCTTCCAGACTTCCCCATATCCATTCAGTATGGGACATGACAGGGCCCCTACGTAGACTGGTGGCCACTGCGGGGAGGCACTGAGAGCTCACCCCAGGCGCAGTGCCAAGAGCCACCTAGATGCAGGGGATAGGCCCTGGGGTGGCAGAAAGAGCCTTGGCCCGTTTTCCTGCCTCACTGGGGTCGTCTGTCAATCCTGTGGGCTGGAGCGGTCCTTTGTGGGGTGAGTCCTGCTTTCCAGGCAGGAGCTGGGGCCTCTTCCCCCACTGTCCTCTGCCCCCTGGTGACCTTTGACGGTTCCCTCTCCTTGCCCTTCTGGGCTCCCCTTGGTCATGAGGGGAGACTGAGGCCTGCGGTGGGCAGGGACTCTGCAGAGCACCGCGTTTCTCAGAGACTCTCCCTGAATCTTCACGAGGCCCTGGGAGAAAGGACTTCGATGACTTCCCTTTTATAGATGAGGCCCCCGAGGCTGTTAGTGACTTGCCGAGGCCAACAGCAAGAAGCAGGTGAACCTCCTGGCCTCACTGTCACCCGAGGTGGCATGAGGAGCGCCCTGCGCAGGTCTAGCTGAGGAAGCTGCCTGAGCTGCTGACAGGCCGGTCACCTGCATGCTCTGTATCCTCTCGCTCAGCCTTGGTCTCCACCTCTGTGAAATGGGATACTCTAAGAACTCTGACCTCTAGGTACTCGGTCAGATGATCGCAGAAAGCCAGGGTACACGGGCCTCCTAAACAGCCTCCAGCCCAGGTCTCCCCCTGCTGGCATGACACACAGGCCACTGGCTTTAAATAAAGCATTTATTGATTAGTAAAAGCTTAAACAGTTTGCATAATATTTTTAATACAATATCTGGGAAGGATGATTGGAAAACCCCAAAAGAAGGCACTACAGGACAGCGTCTTAAGACGGAATGTTGGTAGAAGAGGTTAGTGAGGCGTTTGAGGTTAGGGCTGGTGGGGACTGAGGGCCCTGAGCACCAGTCACTGCCACACGTCCTGGGGTCCAAGGGCAGGGCCCCAGGAAGTACGAGGGGACGGAGGATGCAGGGCGGGGTGGGGGCCCCACGCTGAGGACTCCAAAGGAGTCAGTTTCTGCCCTGCCCGCCCTCCCCTTGAAGCAGAAGGGGAGGGGTGTGGAGGTGCTGGGCTGGGGTCGCCCCAGCTTGACCCTCACCCCTAGGACTAAAAAGCTGAGGAAGGTTGGCCGGGCCCTAGGTGACTCATGCTTTGAAAAGGGGCCTGGAATTTTCAGGATGAGGTGACTTGGTAACTCAGCAGGAGCCAAGCCACAGCCTAAGAGCCTCCGAGAAGCTGCCAGCAGTGCTTTGGGGACCTGCGGCCCCTCAGGAGCCCCACCAACTCCCTTGGTGGACAGCGCGTACCGTGGAGATGGCCCATAGAAGACAGAACCCGCACCCACTAAACCCTGCCTCTGAGCAACAAGTCACCGCACAGTCTGTGGGTACAGAAGGGGCAGGGGCAACGGAGGGACTCCCGAGGACTAGATCCCAGCGAGCAAGCGGGCAGCGGCAGCTGGGGCTGGGAGGGAGAGAGGCCCGAATGCCCGCTCGGCGTCCAGCTCCGCTCCCTCTGCCCGCTCGCCCCCTGCTGGCACATCCTCCCGGTAACACCTCCGCCCCCAGTAACACCTGGGCAGGGCTCGCTCCTGCCCGCCCTCTGACACTTCCTCTCCCCAGACCAGCACGTTCCAGGCCGTTCTTACTCCATCCCCAGGCCTGTGGCCCCACCCTGCTTCATGAGGCACCCCCTCCCCCAGCATCCCCCAGCCTGACTCTAGCCCGAAGACCCCCTCCTTGAACCTCCCCTCACCCGGGATCGGAAAGGTGAGGCCAGTGTCCACTCTGACACTGGCCAGTGGGCCCAGCCAGGGAGAGCAGGAGGGGAGTGCGACCAAGATGGGCCTCAGCGCTACATGTTCCCAGTTCCAATGAGCCCTTGGCGAGGGCAGAGAATTCAAGGGCTGAGTCACAGCAGACAAAGCCTTTACCTCCCTCTGCAAGGATGGCAAGACCCACGAGGGAGGCAGGCCACGGAGGAAGGGCAGGAAGGGAGGACCCAGAGAATCGGGGCCACTGAGAGCTTCCCAGCCCCCTCATCTCTGCTCAGCCCCCAGCACAAGGAGGAAAGCTGAGATCAGCCCACAGAAAAGAAAACGGAGCAACAAAGTATGACCGAACCCAATAAAGTGACTCAGGTGGGCCGTCCCTGCCCAGCCCCAGACGCATACTAGCCCTGCCCCACCTCCACCCGGAGACACAGATCTGGCACTCCCGCCTGGAGCCAAGCCTGCCAGTGCCTTGGAGGGAGGGGCCCATGTGCCTTGTCCAACAGAAGCTCGGGGGCGACCAGCCTAGAATTCAGTCTGCACCCCCGCACTGTCCTCGGTGGTAGTGTGGATGGCAGGGCGGCCACCAGGGCTAGACACCTGCTCCCCGGTCTCCTGGTCACTGGGCTTGGGAGGTTCAAGGTCCACAGCCTTTCCAGGCGGGAGCTGCCGGAGGGGCGAGGCAGGTGGTGAGGCCTCGGGGGTGGCCACAGGCTGGGAGCTCTCCCGCAGAGGGGCCCCGTTGAGCAGGGGTCCGGCCGGCGGGGGGCTCTCAGCCCGCAGATCCTGGGCCAGCAGGCCACGGAGCTCGGTGACACTGTCCAGGGATGCAGGTGATAGTAGCTCAGGGCCAGCCTCAAAGGGCAGCCCTGCCTCGTCATGGACCATGGACACCACCTGCTTGGCACGCCGTTGTTTCTCTGAGGTGGTGGCTGCTTCTGGGACACTGGGGCTGGGATCACCGCTGTTCCCACTGCTGCCGCCACTGCCACCACCATCGCCATACTCCTCACCCCAGTCAATGGGCGTGCCTTCGGCCAGCAGGTGCAGGTTGGGGTCGCTGTTGTGCATGACCATGCTGTCCCGGTACAGGTTGTGCTTCCTCTGCACAGCGGCCTCCTTCACGGCTGTGGGGCCAAAGGGGTCAGAACGTTTACCACAGGACCCACAGCTGCCGCCACACCCTATACTGTGCCCAGCTGTGACCAGCATCATCCCCCAGAGGCCTCCCCACAGCCTGAGTGGGCGTCATGACTGGGATGTTATTCATTCCAGGCCTCACTGCTAGGATGCAGGAGCCAAGACCCTAACCCCCAGCCCACGTTGGTGACCACCGTGTCGTCCTGTCACTCATCTGACGCTCCCTGAAATGCCAAGGACCCATGAAGAAACTAAGGCACGGAGACATGACGCTACTCTCCGGGGGCCACATAACAGTGGGCCTAACCCGGCCCACAGGCTCAAGGCTCATGATTTTCTGTGCAGCTTCTTCAACCCCATCGGGAAGACCTCTGGGCGGCCGCCTCCATCACCCTCCCAGCAGTAAGAATGCCACCAGTGGCGGCGGCGAGGGAGACAGCCACCCAGCTCTGCGGCCAGCCCCCCGGGCGACAAGGCTAGCACGCACCCTGCAGGATGTCCTTCATGACCGTCTGCAGCACCACCTCCTCGTACGTGTTCTCCACCAGGATGAACCTGGCGAAGTCCTCGAAGATCAGCTCCTGGAACCGGGGCAGCTCCTACCAGGCAGGGAGATGGGGCAGAGAGAGGGGTGGTCAGGGCCGCCAGTCAGGCCGACTCTGGCTCTCAGGGACTGGGACGGGGCTGCGGCCGAGGGGCCGGGGCAGGCTGGGGCTGAGTGGGAGTCCGGTGCACTCACCGACTTGCAGGTGGGGGCCAGCTTCTTGAGCAAGAATGGGATCGTGATCTGCAGCAATGCCTCTCGGAAGAAGCGCTTCCGCACAGAGCTGCTGTCATAGTCATATTTCTGCCGGGAAGAGGAGACAGGGGCGCCAAGTCAGTGGGCTCCACCGGCCCCCGGCAGGAAGATAGAAGGCCGGTGGTCTGATCTGAGCTTCACCATCCTCATCTGTGCAAGGGGGTGGGTGGCACCTCTCGCAGGGACAGTGGTCCCGGTGCCAGCCTGGGGACTGGGCTCAGGGCTCAGCCACACTTAGGGATAGGTCAAGGGCCAGCGGGCAGGGCCGCTCACCTTCAGCACCCGCTCCAGGATCCTCTGGATGGACTTGCACAGCTCCTCCTTGGTGGGCCCCTTCCCCAGCTCCTGGTGCAGGAGGGTCTCGAAGGTGTACACGGCATTGTCCATTTGCTATAGGACACACCATAGGGCACGTGAAGGTTCCAGAGTGACCACAGCCCCTCCTGCACACCTCCGAGGGGCTCCTCAGCCGGCCACCCCAGGCCTTCCCGGGAGCAGTTGGCAGCCTGTGGACTCACTGTGCTCTCTCCCTCACACCATTACTGAGTGCCTACTGTGCGCTGGCACTGTGCTAGGCACTGGGGCCAGTCCCTGCCTCAAGACAATAGGAAACAGGTCCTGGGCCCTGGAGGAAAGGACTTGGGGAGCAGGGAGGGCTTCCCAGAGGAGGGGGTCTCTAAGCCGAGACCTGAAAGATGAGACCAAGTTAATCCAATGAACAGAGAGGGGCAGGTGTTCCAAACAGATGCAGGAGAGAGCACACCGGGGCTGAGAACGGCCGCAGCGCGGCTTACGGGGGGGCCCGGGGTAAGGTGGGAGCGCTCTCCCAGGAGATGGGGACTCTGGAAGGCGGGTGTGTGGTGTGCTGGGGCAGGAGCCTCGGGCCCACCTCACGCATATGGATCTGGGCTCGCTGCTTGAACACGGACGTGCTGGACACGTCGAAACGCTGCTGCAGACCATCAAGCCGCAGCGGCTCCATCTTCTCGTAGCAGCTCTGCATCTTGAGGGGGTGGTACGCCAGCTGGGACAGCTTCTCCATGTACTGCAGGGAGACAGGGATGCATGGGGCCTGAGCTAGGGCCACCTGAGTGGCCGGGCGGCCCCCACGGACCCACACGCCTTGCCTGGGCCCTTGGGAGTCCAGGCCCTGGGGCCGGTACTAGCACCAGAGAAGGCCACCTGGCGGGGGTGGAGTGGTACCTACAAGGGTAAGCCCTGGAGGGCCCAGGACAGGAAGGGTGAGGATCTGAAGGCGAAAGGAGCCTGGTCCAGCAGCACAGCCTGGGTGCTGGCAGTGTGACCGTGGCACAGGGTGACCGTGGGCAACTCACTCATCCTCTCTGAGCCTCAGTGTCCTCACCCTCAAAGTCAGGAGATGGTTTTTCATGATCTCTAAGGTTCTTTCTGGTTCTCAAACTCTCTGATTATTATTGTCTGTGGACTCTCCAATTTGAGGCATGGAAAAAGAGGCTGAGATCACAGGATCAATTCTACCTGCACCTGACAACTATGTGCGGCTCCAGGCAGCCGAGGACCCCAATATGGAGTCGGTGGGAGGGCATTCAGCCAAAGAACCAAGTAACTGAGGACCAGTGAGAGAACTGGGCGATCTCCATTCCTGGGGTACGTGAAATGGCATCCACATATTTGATTCTACCTCGATAATTATATAACTCACAACTGAAGCTCGTCTTTCCTTTTTCCCCTCCTTTCTTTCCTTCTTGTCCTTCTCTCCTTCCCTTCTGTTAAGGTCTTTGATTATTTAGTAACCAGCTTGGCTTACAAACCTGGTGGCAGGGGGTAGGCTCCCCTTTCTTCTCCCTGCCAGCCCCCCACAGGGCAGCCAATAGCTATGGCTTCACGCACTCAGCCCCTCAGACCTTCTACTTATGGATTATGCCAGGAGGGGGCGGCCCACCCTGGGTCACAGCGAGGGCCCGACCCAAACCCAGGAGGCACCCCCGCTTCCCAAGGAGGAGCAGGGGGCTGGCCTCACCTCGCCCAGCTTGTCGATGCCGCCCTCATTGATGATGTTCAGGTTTATGTCGGTGACCTCCTTGAAGAAGACGTCCCGCACCTCCGTGAAGCCCTGGCTGGTGGGCACCATGAGGGCCTCCAGGATGGACGGGATGTAGGGCTGAACGTGGTTCCGGACACACACCTCCGCCTTGGGGAGAATGAAGGCTGCGCCCAGAGGGAGCAGGTTAGCTGATGCCACCCCGGAAGCATCTCCCCAGCCAGCCCCCCGGACCCAGAAGCTAGAGGCATGCCGCTGGGTTATTTTTTTAAAGAAATAAAAAAAAAAAAAAAAAAAAAAATGGGGGAGGTGAGAAGAAATCTCCAGGTGACAACAGTAGCAAACAATAATTCTAGAGAAAGCTGATAAAGACTCATTGGCCGTGGAGAAATCCATGGAGACAAAATACTATGGTATTCTGAGACTGGACCCTGATGTTTCTGAAACTAGGATGACGAGAAGCTAGGGAACGTTTGGTCTAAAGGTGCCGGTGGTTTTTCTGCTTCGCTAGAGGTAGAGAAAAACATCTCTGGGGGTCTTGCTCCTTCATTTAGGAAAAAAAGAGGGAGAACGCTTTAGTCGATTCCCTGAGCCTCGGTTCTGCAAACATGAAGCCCAGTCCTGCTCTGGCACGGCGTAACCACGTGAAAGGCAGCGTCCCCGGGGGCCGGGACCATCTCCAGGACGTTCAGACCAAGGCATTTTTACCCTCCGGTGTTTTGATGTCTCTCCCTTTCCCCTGCCCAACGTGTATTGTTTGTTCCACAAAATAAATGTCGGCTCTTGGTGTCCTAGGCAGCTCACAATGAACACAGCTAGCAAAGAAACATCCTCGAGCAACTGACGACAGCTAAAACTGCACACAGCCAATGCGTTACGATGACAAGGGACCAAAAAGGGTCCCATCTGGCTAGGAACAGAAAGGCGCATAAATTCGCTCGGAAAAGTCAGATTTGGTGAAAGTGAATCATCACAAAGTTAAGCTGACGTCTGCTAAAATGACACGTGGTGTCAATCTGTGACTAATCAAAGATGAGCAGAAGCTGAACCTCCTTGACAGAAATCTAGATCTTCAAGATCTGGCTTTATAGAAATAATAGCTACAAAACAACTCACAGGGGTTGGGGAAAAAAAAAAAATGGCTCGGATTTGATTTCTGTTTTGTAAAACAATGAGTTGTGTCATCGCTGAGAAATGTACACGGATCCATGAAATAAAGGCGGTCTGCCCGGGCCTCTGGAGAGCACATGGTCCCAGCAGCTCAGCTGGGCGATGACAGGCAAGGCAGGTGGTCTGCCTACCTCGGATCTTGCTGGCCAGATGCTCCTTGGAGGTGATGATCTGGTCCATGTCGGTGCGGATGACCGCCTCCATGGCCGGCCGGGCCAGCTGCAGCTTGGACAGCACCGCCTCAAACTGCGCTGCGGCCTGCTCGTACACCATGCGGTACACAGCATCCGAGATCTGGGGGCAGAGATTCGGTGTCAGGGCCAGGATGAGGAAACTGCAGGCCCCCACCGCCCG